TGAAAGAAACAAATAATGTTGGTATGTATGTTTGTATACCTCTTTAATAGATATAATTATATATATATGTATATAATTATATTTATTAAACTCAACAAATTCAATGAATTTAACTCAAGCAATACAAGACAGCATCGAGTTGTCATGAATCATAAAGGTTCTAGATGGTTATGTATATCTTATTTTTCGGTCCTAGTAAAACTAACTCGAACTTGAATTATCGTAAACACCCATTGTGTTCGTCAAATTGCGCTTTGGAAAAATTCGAAATTACTTATTCCACAACCTAGCAAATAAAAAAGGTGACTCGCGATAGATATAAAATATTCTATACATTAAGTGCGCAAGGTATCATAGTCAAGATCAATAACTGGTATCTTATGTAATAACGTTGTTACTGTGTAAACGTGATATTTTATACCATTATTCATTCCGTTGAATATAAAGAGAAGGTCATCAAGATTTGATATGCGGCAACAATATATTGATTTTATAATTGATTGGGCATTAAAAACTGAACGATTTATATATTAACATGCATACGCTCGCACGTCAATCGATAATATAGAGCATTCCTTTTCTAACTGGATGCAAGCTAAATATCATTCACATATTTAAAAGCGCACGATAAGTTCATTAACATATGAACAGGTAACTTAAATGTTCACAACTCCAGTACAAAAGTTTACGGTAGTTTCTAATTTGGATATGCCGGCTACTATGCGATCTACTCTCCTATTTCATTTCACATCTCTACTTCTAAGACCCGTTTTAATCCATTCACTGCCAAGGACATCTGATCGGGTTAAAAAGCAAATTATCCATCCGGTAGACGATCCATTGCGTCTTAAGTATTTCCGTTCAATCTTTCTCTGAACAAAAGTACAAAAGCTGAAGACCGACCGTGGAATTTTTGCGATAGGCAATAATTCTGCATTGAACAGAGAATGGATTAAATATGCAGTATCGAAAGAGTCGATCTTACAAATTACTCGGTCTACTCTAGATCTAAATAGCGACGTTTAAAGCCACGCAAGTAGGCAACTCACCTGTTTGTTGTTGGTCATGCCTGATGTTTAATCGGGATCCGATGTCCGAGATAGCCGGTGCTTGTCGACGAGTACACGTGCGCGGTGGGACGATCGTCACCAGTGCACAATGGGGACGCGGCAATGGACAAGCCGGGATCCATGCATGTGCGAATGGTTGGAGGAAGAGAGGAGGGGCAGGAAGGAAGGGGACGAGACAGAGAGATGAAGAGAGAAAGAAGCAGAGAGACGTGGATAATATTGCAACCAACTACACAACTCGTTCTCTCACACGGCGCGCTTACTAGAAAAAACAAAAAGAAATGAGAGACACGCATACAAATTACTATAAGATACGAAACAAATTATTGCGGCGCGTTAAGCGTGTTACTCGCAGCACTTGCGAAATAAGACGGATTGATTCGGCGGTTGACGCATGATTAGACTCGGAGTTGAGTTATTAATTGTAAGACCAGTCGTCGCCGTCGTTGCGGTGGCAGCGACGAGTTTTGTAATGAAGCCTTAGTCATATCAAGTTAATTCATGTAACACACAACGCGCTTATTCCTAATGTCATATGAAATAATAACTAGTAATCGTATTTGTTGTAATTAAGCATATCATTACTCACTCCTTGACCCCAATTTTAAAAGATTAAATAAATACAGATATATATATAATTGTTTTATCGACAAGAAAATTCCATAAAGAATTCTGTAAAGATCTTTGTTTCAAAACAATTTACTTTAAATCATCAAGTTATTAAAAGAAATTAATTATTAACATATAATTATTAATATTTTACTCATAACAATGCGATATATCGAAAACAGAAGTCAGCAGTGCAGAAATATGGCTATAGAATAAAGCTTTCTTTCAAGAGATTTACACACATAATGTGCACCACATATATAAATATATTATGTAGACCATTTGGGTTATATATTATACAACTCAGTGGGAAAACCCTCTGAACAGGGTCATGAATTTCTTTCTGCAATTACTATGTTATAGAATCCGATTTTGCCGTGAAGAAATTATCGATTCAGCGCATCAATTATAGATTTATTAATCGACCGATCGATCGACGTGCGCAACATCTTGTGACTTTGTCACTTGAAAAGATTACGAGATTCAGCACTCACACAGAATCAAAAAGTGATAATGCACACAATGCGTTAAGTCGCTATAACCGACGATATATGAAATCGTTCTCGAATAAATGCAGGCTTATTCGTAAAGCTGTCGACGCTCAAGTTGACGGCGCGTCGGATGATTTAACTTTATGTTAATTTGCGAACGCGTAAGAATTTGTAATGGTTGAACAAAGGGATTACGAAACCGACCGATATACACTCGCTCAGAATGAAAAAAACTACGTACGAGAGTTCGGAGCGCCGTCGAGCAAACGTTCACCCGAGCCAACCGTTGCGTTTCTACTGACGAAAGCTAGTAGTGTGTGCTCATTGTTAGTGCTCCCAGAATCTGATACCCGCTTGTCGTCGGTTGGCTCGTCACGCATCGTAATGCGTCTATCACGCACATTTAATCACATGTAATGTTCATGCAATCAGTTTTAAAGCAATATTAATTGAGTATCAATTTGATATTTTTACATTTAAGATTTTAATACTTTTATATCAATATTCTTATTTCATTTATGAATGTTCAATATTTATAAGGATACGTAAATGTAACATCGATATGTAGATTGCAGATAAATTATTTAATGAATGTCATTTTTCAATATTTTTTATCACGTAGACGCAGTCGCACTTTATGTGCAAATAAGACATTATATGCAAACGCATGATAAATAATAATGAATTTATTACGATGATTTAAAGTCGTTTCCTCATCTGCTCTGAAATGCATACGGTAGCCGAATCAAATCTTTGTTATTTACGTGAGCAAGCAATATTAATCCGACACAGTGTACAGTTACACTATCGTATTTCCACACAGCTGGAAGGTAAAATATCTCATGCATTCCCATAATTACATCTGTGGCAATCGTGCTACATGCAAAAGAAATAGATTATAATTTCTTTATGTTTGTATTGCGTATATCTTTTTATGCATATACATGTATCTCTATTGTTATATCTACGAAGAAATTATAAATCACAGTGTAAACACGTTACGACTCAACACATGCAAAAGTTGCAATTGCTTACTTACTTTACCGCTAGGTTTGTAACAAGCTCTCGCGTCTACCATGTTGTTCATGATGTGTTGATCCTCGACGCCGTCAAAACCCAATTTCTCCGCGAATTCCTCTCTCGTGCGAATCATCTCCCAGTTGGCAATATTGTATCCCATAGACACAACTCCGTCCGCGAGAAATTTATTTATTCCTGCCGATGCTTCCGCGCCGACTTCAATCTATCGTTAATTCGCAAATTTGTAAATGGCTCATTGCTTTACCGGCATCATTTCCTTCGACGTGTTTACTATTTTTTCGATTACAGCGAGAACACGCGATAGGCCGTCGAACACATGTGCGCACTTCTGTATTCGATCAGTAATTTATTCATCAAATCAATTAGCACATATACATACAGTATCGATTTGACGTTTCGCATGCAAATATCGAGACAACCGAAGCCATGACACAAGCAACTACTATCATGGAATAAGATGGACAAGAGAGGGGACTGCCTTCTATATTAAGCCTGCATCAGACTGTGCAATTTGTTGCAGCAACTTGCAAGCGATCTAGAAAATTACTAGAAATGCACCATACAGTGCACAGCGTTTCTAGTAATTTACCAGATCGCTCGTGAATTTTTGCAACAAGTTGCATTGTCTGATGCAGGCTTTAGAGATTCTACTGCGCAGAACGCTTTGCGCAGCACATGTACGCGGTCTCGTTTGTGTGGGACTCGGAAGCCGTGGATCGTTATGCGCAAAATCGCATCACTGATGTCCATAAATTCTTTATAGCGACACTTTTTCTTAACTAGTAATTAGCTTAATGTTTGCAATCATCATATCATCACTCAAAAGCGTTACAATTCGACTGTTTAGCTGTTAGTTAATAAAACTAGACAGTGATGAGTTTGATCTTCCACACAAGCCATTTGCCGTTAATTATATAAATTTTTCTGAAAATAAGCCAATTTTTTATTTATTTAATTTTTAATTCAATTTACATTTGTATTATACAATTATATCTTATAGTAATTGCATACATGTACAATAATGTAGAAAAGATAACAAGATCAATTTATGACAAAATTAATAATTCTTATGAAAATTAAAGAGATCTTTGTTTTACTTTGAGAATAAACGTGCGTATTTCCATCGGTTTTAAGAGGACATTGGTTACATCTTTATGAATCTCTACGGGTTGCACACTCTCTTCCTCATTCTGGAGAATATTATTTGTTTCCAATTGCCATTTCAATGGATTATTTTCACTCAACAGCTGATTAGCGCCCAATGTAGTTTCTTTAATTGATTCGATCGAGAATGTCGAGAATAGATCCTGTCGAGATAAAATATAATTAGAAATTTTTTAAAGCTATTCTCTACTTTTTACACAAGTAAAAGCTAATTTTGCAATAGTTGTAATTAGATTATTAAAATATTATATTAATCTTATCTTTTTTGTGCAAAGAAAGTATATAGAGTGGTCCAACTGGGTGGTGCAACTGGGCCGGATTCTAGCATCTGTTCTGTTAAAGTTAGAAAAAAATAGACAAAAATTAAATGGCATAACAAGAAAAGTAAGTCGATAGACAAATTTTGCTTGTTATGCTATTCAACTTTCGTCTCTACCATTTTTTTTCCATTTTCAACAGAACAAATGCTAAAACGCGGCCCAATTGTGTGGACCATTCTGTATAAAAATTAGAGAATTTTATAAATACATTAGGCTGTTAATTAATTGTAAGTTTGCGGATTTCTTCGTCAAAAATCTATATTAATATTTAATATTCAAAGTAAATTTCCTGAATTAAAGTAATTGTCGCCGTTATCTACTATCTTTTATCATCTTTTTGGCAGAAGTTGAATGCCGCGAAAAAAGCGAAATTCTTGGCGGGAAAATAGTCATCGCCCCATTTTCGGACCTATGATTAGTTTTGAAAGCACTTGTCCTGTCAGTTTATGTTGTATCGATCGAAACAAACTTAGTTAACAACCTAATATATAAATATATAATAACGATAACGCACCTGAATGTTAACTTCCACCGGCTGAGACAATTGCTGCGCCTCACCAACCTCGAAGAGATGCTCCAATCTCAATAGAATCGTGCCATCCTTCCACGGTTCTAAAGTAAGAATATGCACGTTTCGTGGTAATGCCTTTGTAAGTCCTGAGGTCTACAAAATAAACATCAATCAGCACAAAATAACGTTAAAATCACATTTGCTTATAAGTTAACTCGTGTCTGATGTAATAAGTCTTTGGCAGATTATCTTCTATGAATCTTTAGAAATTGTTTGCTAAGTTCTGTTGCGACAGTTGCAAATTATATTACATATATAATAAAGATATAAAGTAGAAAGTGTACATACAAAAGTTTCGAGTACAGCAGAAATATTTTCGACGCTGCTCGAGTTAACAGGGGCACCCAAGATCCAAGGATACAGAGCCAGTTTCAGGGCCAGTTCTTTCTCCGTCAATACGAATTCATCCACATTTTTAACTTTACCTCCGAAAAGATAGTGTGTGCCTCTTACTGCTAAACCTTTGCCAAATGCTGTTTCATTCAACGCTTCGCCCACACCAAACGCATCATCCTTTAGAAGTCTTCGGTGAACCTAGAAGCAATGTTATTTATTATAAACGCTATTGTGTTTTATTTTAACACATTGCCAACGGGAGCTGATATACGCTGATATTTTAATCTGCAGCGGATATAAAGTGTGGTTTTACGCGTCTCGTCGACAAGATGTTAATAAGTTACATATTAATGTGCTGCTGCGGAATACAATATAATATCTTTATTATATTTGAACTTTCATTTATAATAATAATGGAATAATAATGGATTAAACTGGATCTATAATTTATATAAAATTGCATAGTAATAGAATGGATTTAAACTTAAATTTACATTTTTGCTTCGTATTTTTTAGTTTTTCAAGATTATTACTACGATATTTAATTAATTTTAATATTATATATACATATTTAACAAATTATAATAAATAATTATACATTTATTATTAATTTAAATTTTATCATAAAGCAAATTCAACAAAAGTAATAAATATTGATCGGTAAAATTGGATAATTACCATCAATTCAATTACTCCATCCTGTAAGCTGCTTCCACCCTGAGCACGATCAGTCAGAATATTTAGCTTCAGTTGCTTTTCCTCGTCCTTGATTGCAATTTTACTCGTCACTGGATAATAATTCCCGGATATTGGCTCTTCCATTTTCAGATCCCACGTCGGCCGATAATTTCTCACACGTTTCAACATCTCTCTCCCATTGCTATCCGTATAAAATACTCCATCCGTATTTAAATTGCTTGTATATCTTGTGATGATCTCTTTACCAATTTTATCCCTGAAATAATATGTAACAAGGGTTTAATCAATTTTTCATTATTTTCCAGGCAAAAAAGCTTTTTAAGTAGTTTTTAAACAGTTTAAAAAAAAATTATGTTATATAAAAATATTTTAAACCTAAAAAGATAATATTATACAGATAAAGGTTAAATATTGCGACAATGGAAATTGATAGTACTCGACAGGTATCGATCCAACAAGCCAATCGAATTCGATGTGCTGTTCTTCCGGATAGATTCGTACTACTTGACTGACCCACTCGTTTATTGTTTGATGAAGCTCTTGTACGACAGGACCTGGTAAACAAAAATAAAGTTTATGGAATAATGCATTTAATATAAAAAATGTAATGTATATATATTCATGCGGAACGGATAAGTTAATAGATGATATACCTTTATAGATATTGTACGATCCAGTGTATATAAAATTCCGGGCTGACGCTTCTTTAGGCCTGAAGATGTACGCACCAGATGATCTATTTTCAAAAACCTTATTGTTGCCCTCCATTCCTTCGTAGTAATGGAACGATTGCACGAGGCTCATATTCTGTTTGTTCCATTGCACTAGTAAATTACCGTTGTCAGTAACGGATACGTTATACAGCTGAAAACAAATTGACTGATCAGTTTGTTTAGCTTGGAGTGAGAAGAGCAAAAACAATTTTAGCGATTTACATTATTTTAATTGGTACTTGATGATTATTATATTCCACGTATAAATATTTACCTCGTTACTTATAAAGTTCAATGGCTGTGGCTCAAATATTTCTTCCTGCGTGTTTTTGGTGATGACATAAGACAGTAGACCGAGGGCAGGAATATCCGCAGCACGGAAAACGATCTCGTTCGTTGCCTTGTTCAATCTTCCTGGGACTTTTCGCACTGCTTCGGGAATCGGCACTATTTGTGTGACTGGATTTAGTCCTGTTGAATATCGCAAAAACATGTTATTTATCTTGAAAAATGTATTACTTAATATTATTATCTTATTAATAAGTATTATTTAATATAATATCTTATTAACGGCCTGCAAATCATGTTTTGCAAAATCGGCACGAATTGTGACAAATGATACGTTAACATAATCTACTGCTATTCTAAATGTACCATTAGTTTTTGAATTCAAGTTTTTATGTTTTCATTCTAGTACAACAAGAGACTCAAAAAATAATTGTAAAATTAAATGACACACAATAAGCATCCTATTTTCGATTGATGCGTTTGAGCCCGGTCTGCCGGTTGGCAGCTTATGCGTACAATTTTGCCGCGCGAAATTCGCCAAATTCCTTTATAATTAATTTCTCTATAATTATTGCAAAAATCGCAAAACGGTAAAGGACTTTTTTTTGTTCAGCTTACTTTCCTCTTACTATCCGCTCACGAGCGTCGGCACAATCATTCTGATATTTTCTAAAATCTTAGTGCACATACCAGCAATTAGTGATTGAACTGCATAAGAATTTCCTTGAACAGGAACACGAACGTGCGTAGAAACAGGTCTACTTAGAGGATTGTACACCACAACCAAAAACATGTCGTTTTCTTCGGAAAATGCGCATGAACTGATGTTCAATTCCAAACATGTAAATATTTTAATGGACGGCTCCGAACTGTACGTCATTCTTGACCATTTTCTATTTCACAGAGACAAACGTAAATGATTTTATAATTTTTGCGATATAAGATAGATTTATGGCATATATAAATTATAGATACATAATGTCTCCAATCATTTATATGCTTTTATGTTACAAATTGTAATTAAAGTTAAGGAATTTCGGCAGGAAGTTCGACCTACTTACCCTATGGCTTCCGAAATGATTTCTCCGGCATTGTGCATACTCTCATACAATATACGTGAATAATCGTTAGCAACCAATTGCTTCTCAGTACCGGTAACGGCATCATGATGTTGCATTATTCCCATAGCTTCACGGAAGTTATCCAAGTGCTTGTTGTGATTCTCCAAGTTTGTTAAAGCGACAAGCTGCTTAGTTGCCTGAAAAACAAATGATCAATTTATCTTGCAAGTATAGCTCGCAGTTGGATAAATTAGAATTTCAATATATAATAGAATTATAAATTAATCATTTTTGACTAACTTACTTGCAACATGTTGTTTCCCATCCGCTCGAAGTATTTCACAGTTGGTCTTGACGAGAAGTAACCGGTCCAGTAAGAATGAGGATCGCTTGCATACGGGAAGAAATCATCGCTTTTACTGGGCCACTGGAAGTTCTTGTCGTTCAAAGCCTTCAGGTAGCACGAGGGTGTCGAGTAAATCACATTGACTGTGGAACCATTGCGTTGATTTGTATATCTGAAAAAAGGAAATGCATTCGAGGAGTTTTTAACCAAATCGAGCGATATAACTTCGACATTGTTTCACTAATACTTCACCACTTTAATAGTAATTAAAATTTGAATTAAATTATCTTATAACTAATATAATACATTTATCATCACTATCGATCGAATACAATTATTAATTATACCAACGAACAATTTATGACACAGTGTTAAAAAATGTATAAAATTTGGAACTGAAATTTAAATACCCTTAAAAAATATAAATATAAACATTTCGTTAAAACTTTGCAAGTTGCCGAAAAGTTTTTCCTTACCTGTTACATGCTGAACTTTTCAATCTCAAGAAGACTTGGAATTTCCGACAATTCTATACATTTCGAAATTATTTTATCAGCACTCTTCATTCTCTTAGTTATTAATTCCCAGACAGCACACATGTCCAAAATACATCCAAAGGATATCGAGAGAACGTCCTGTCGTCCCAAAAAACGTCTTTGGGATATCCTCTGGACGTCTTTTGAATATGCTGTGCTGTCTGGGTTACCAATTTCTCAACTTGCTAGCTTGTAAATTGTTGTCACACGTTGTTAAATATTAGAACTGCCCGAAAAGTTTGAACTCGATGTTCATTTTCTTTTATTCGAGCTGTCCGAACAAATTAAACATATATGTTCGAATTTTTTTTCTGAGCAATAATAACAACATTATTATTGTAAGAAATACTTTTCTACCAATCATAAAAGAAATTTCAATTACATAAAATAAAAAGAAATTGATAAATATATTGTTTTAATAATATTACATCTATCTTTATACACATTCTATATGTAAATTTGTCTAATTCAAATCTAATTGAAATCTACGTTCAGCAATGATTCCAAAAGTCAAGCTTAGCAGAAGAATTTCTGAGGATTAATCGTAACTTACTTGATCAACTTGTCCAAGTTATCAAACCACATGTTAGCTTGCTGATAATTAAAATCCTCTCCCATGGTGAGGATAACGTGATTACTTCTGTAAGCACGCGCTTGAGCTTGCACGTATGCCAGGAACGACTCCACCTGTCAATCGTATACAACTTTTTACTTACCATGTTGTGATGGCAATGTTTCATCGCTCACGGATTTGTAAAGATCATTTCCATTCCTCTGTTTATCCCTAATAGTAACAATTGGACTTGCAAAGCGGTAATTTTGTTCAATATTGTATTTTTTTTATAAGCGTCGAATGTATTACGAGAGAAGCTTGAATTATGCAAAATTTCATAATTTTTTTAGTGGCCAATACCTTATCAGTTTGTCCAAATTCATAAAGTACATTTCTGCGTCTTGATAAGTGAAATCTCCTCCCATTGTTAATATGATATGATTTGTGCGGTAATAATTAGATTGCACAACCGCGTATAGCAGAAAATCATCAATCTGGCACAAAAATACATCGCGCAATTAGAACTCTCGCATGGAATGAATATGTTCTGAACTATACCAGTGATTTGATTTTTTTTTTTACATTACACAGTTCTACAAAAAATAGATTTTTTTGAACACATAAATCCAAGATATCTTGTTTTATATTTTTTTAAAATACTAAATACGATACCGACTTTAAAAATGCTCCATCACGTCACAATTTTAAGAAATTCAAGATTGAAGTGTAAAAAAGTTTGATGATTAAATAATTTTTGTATCTATTACACCGCAGGTAGATTGAAACTAGGACTGCGAATAATCCATTGAATATTGTCAATTTTTGTGGAATGTACATAATGATTTTTAAGCCGAATCTAATGTCGAAATTGACAAATTCATGTCAATTGTCAAAATTAAATGGTTGTAGGAGATTACGCGGAAAATTTTTGCATATATGTGACATATTTCGATGAACAATCAACTAGGCGACGTGCAAAAGCGAGATCTTAAGGCATCATTGTATTTGTTCACTGAATGTTGTTAATAAAAGTGAGCGTAACGATGCATCGTTAAAATCTTATTATTAAAAATCTTATCATTTTAAACATTTTTTATCTTATCATTTTAAACTCTTATCATTAACGTGTTCAGGAAAGAGAAGTTCTATACTAACATAAAGATTTCAATAAAAATTAATTATAAAAACAACATTAAAAAATTATAAAGTTATGTATGCAAACCATTGCGATAGCTTTAGTTTATCGTTAGTTTGTTATTAGGGTTGTCGACAACTACTACATTGTGCGCTATCATATTACGTACCCTTTTGTCGATGTTATAATCAGGGCTATCAGGGTCATCAATCATTGGTTCGTCGGCGCATAAAACGTCGAAGCAAAATCCTGGCGGTGGACTATAAGTGTTGTACATCGCGGCCGTGAACAAATTCGCTCGTTTGCCTGTAAACAATATTATATATTGTAATCTTATGTATAGTAAAGCATCCAAAAAATGTCTAGAAGACATCACGAAGATATCTTTGAGAGATGCGATATCTTCAGAATGTTCTCTGAACATCGCCCGGATATGCATGCTGTGTGAGATACACAAGAATATTTCTACAACAGATTATGAGATCTTGTGATACATCTTTGTACTAGATTTTAAATTAACATTTTTATTGAAATAAATTTCGCGTAAAAATTCTAAACAATATGATTTTATCATCTTTTTACATTGATTATTATATGCTTAAGTATTATTAGTTAAAATTATTAACTGGCTGGTTTTATGACAGTTATTCAAAAAAGTATTAAGAAAATATTCAGTTTTAGTTTTAATAAATATACACAGGAGGTACATACAAAATTAAAATTAAATAAATGAAACTATTTGCTGTTCATGGCGTTTTCAAAATCGCCCGATTCACTGACGCACCCTGTACATTTCATAATCATTGGTATCGGCAGTTTTTACTAAAGATACTTTTGCGTCTCACCTAAACTTGGGCTGCTCTTCCAAATAAATTCCATCGTTTGATCGCGCAATCTCTGAGCCTTATCTTGATAATCAAGACGACCGAACAACATCCCATCGAATCCCATTTGTGCGAACAGAGAAGCCTGTTCTCTGGAATGGCCGAACGGATCTATTTGCCATCCTATGCGTGGTCTAGCACAGCTTCCGAATGTGTCATTTAGTCGTCTGAAAATTAGTGATCAATGGAATATAAATATAATTTTCATTTACATGTTCATAAATACATATTTTAAATATATTTTATATATATTATCAAACACACCTAAATCCCCAGGTGAACTGATCGACCAGTGAATGGTAGTGAGTGCAGGCCTCGTCATTCATGCTCCATGCTCCTCCAATGATTTCCAATCGTCCTTCATTAATCAACATCTTGACGTCGGCCTGCACTCTTTCGTTTTGTCGTAACCACCATTTCCAGAAGAAAGCGGTCTCCACAAAAATAAATCTATAAAAATAATCGATACGAAATTTATTAAAAATAAAATTTCTTTAACACTAAAAAATTAACAATATAACAATTAAAATTCACAAATATTATCGTACATATTATAAATGTTGCACTTATTAATAGAATATAAATAACAAGCGTGATATGCTCTTTATCTATAATAAACATGCTTGAATTGTTTACATATATGAATCCTTATCATATTGAAATCTTTAATTTATCATTTAAAAAAATATTATCTAAAACAATTACCTTCTACTAGGATCAGCTAGCAACGCTTTGATAACGCTATCGAGAATGTACTGCACACCAGCTTTTTGGATCGTAGACCGGCCTTGAAGAATTTATCACAAATTATTAGAAAAGCTAGAGATGTGAACTTTAATATAGTACATCAACGAAATAATAAAATATAAAGATAACTTGTATGATTATTTGTCTTAATAAAAACTGTATTATTATCGTAATATAATTTTAGAAAGTTTCACAGGATTTTCATACTGTAGACATAATTGTGTTAGAATTGTATAAGCGAGTCAACGCTAAATTTATTCTTTTTATACGATTTCTATGATTTTTATTCTATTTATTATTCAAATGCATTTTAAATATAAAATATTCGTTTAAAAATAATAAATTTCATTAATAATAAAATAATAATAGATACAAGAAAAAATCTCTACAATTGATATTAATTAAAATGCTAGAACTGTAAAATTCCCTTCAATTTAAATTCTTTAAATAATAATTAATTACATTTGTTATGTCAAAACAAATAAATATATTTTTATTCTTTGATTTTAATTAACGTTTGATTTAAATTCTTTTAGTTTCAATCGTGTTGGAAAGTATTGGATATATAGAAATCAAATTCCCTTTTGTTTATATCTCCTCGTTACTATTTTTAGCATACACTCACTTCCAAAATAATACTGATCTACAGTTTTTAGCCAACCAACATCATCGTGAGTATGTGAGACTATATGAATGTTAAGTTTCTTTGAGTCCACCGCATGACACGCCTGAAATTAATAAAATATATGTGTTAAGTGTATCCTACTTTTCTTTCAATTGCTAAATTTTATTTGGCAATAATAAAATTTAGATACATTAAAAATCAAAATGTTATATAAGTTAAAATATATGTATAAATATATGTAAATATATATATTATTTGAAACAGTAAAATTATTTATATTTCAAAAACTAATTTGTAAAATAATTCTATTTAAACACTCAGTTTGATTTAAGTGTATTTCTATTATCTCAAACAATAGTCAATTTATAATCTATAAATAAATAATGTATTTCAAGAGTTAATTGTAGTAATGCTTTAACTTAATTTTTCAAAATTAAAAAAATTAATTAATTAATTTTATATAAAAATAAGAAAGAATGGTTAGACAAATATTGTTCTTGGTCAATATTTTAATTTTATGTTAATACTTACTTTGTTATTTAATTATGTATGAAGTATGTGTTTCCAACTATTTTATGTATGTGGATCTTTAGAGATAAATTTATAATTATATTTACATTTATTTATGCTTTATTTCAATTTTTACGGTAATATGATATATGATAATAACAAAAATATTGTAGTAATGTCAAAATATAAAATATTAAAAATATAAATAATCGTAAATGCTTGTAACGTCAATCAGTGAGGTTATATCATCATGGAATGTAAAGTTTATTAACGCTAAATTGGCACGCATCCTTGAAAGCAACATTGCGATTCATATAGTGTTCCTTACTCTAATTAGCTATCAATTTGCGTACCTCATAGCCACAGTTTTTGTCGGTAGTTGTCGGTTCTGATATGGTTCGTGGTATTCGCGCCGCATCGCTGAAAACGAAGAGCTGAGCAAATCCCAATAACAAAAGAAGCAGAAATTTGTGCCACGACATAGCGAAAACCGCTTGCTACGACACACAACGTAACTATGAGATAATTGAAACTGTTGGTCCTATATTTATACCGCTGACCAAGCATACGTCAGTACGATAATGTATCACGACAGATAAAAGCCGACACAGCCTGATGATGTTTACGGATGCAAAGGCGTAAGCATTGAATCAATAGAATAAATTCTTAGCTACTTGTTGCCCTTCTAAAGTGTGAAACATGTTTTTTTAACCGGAACGAAGAATATCGAAATATTTACGTTACCTTTAACATTTTTTTTATATTTGTGTGTTATTATGTGATTAAAGTTCTCGAAAAGCAATTATAATACGGATTCTTTTAAAAGATACTTTTATAAATGTAGTTTATTTACTATCGAATATTTTTAATATAAATGAATAATAATAATATATATATTATAATAAAATTGACGGGTCTTCTCTGCAGTATAACATTTAATTCATTTGATTCTGTTCATTCGTTGTAAAAGTAATAGCAATTTACTTTAGACATCTTTCGAATGGTCCAGTTCCAGCGGATGAGTAAATAAATCGTAGTAAAAATATTAGGAAAACAATATATTTATTTTCATAATATAATAAAGTAAAATGCAGTAATGTAACACCGTCAAAGCACGAACAACGCTAAATATCTCACAGAGGGACAGAAAAGAGGTAGTGGTACACCAAGCAAAACGAAACTTCAAACATGTCGCGTGTATGGCGCCGTTAATTAATTACGTCATTAACATCGCATATGCTATTCATGATATAATATTTGGATGATTGTTGTAGATTGTTGATTTTTAAATTATGATGCTAGTGAAAATATGAATACAACGGTGCAAAAACACATTATGATCACTCTCCTTGACACTTCAGATGAATTTCATTCACGATTGCTCATTTTCTTCAATCCCTAGAAAAAAATTATTCACATTTAATTTGATATTGAATTGTGATTCAATTTTATTGAATAATTTAATTGTTAAAAATACTGATAGTGTTATGCAAAAGTAAATTAATTTTTTGAATAGTTTTTAATAAATTATGTTTAAGAAAATAGATTTAGAAGTCAATTAATAGATTATAAAATAGATTTTATATTGCAAATTGAACTTTATTATAAGCTCATACTTTTTAAATTTTGCCAATTAATTTATTTTTGCATAATTACATACACATTTATATATTTTTAACAATAAATGAAATCTGATGGATAATAATGCACAAAGAAATTAATTTGATAGAAAATAAATTCGTGATACGTACCGACGACTTAAAAGAGTTGTAATTACAAAATTCAATATTTAACAAATATGTCTAAAAATCAGAATACATAATCTCTTGCGGTTTCTCGAATTTAATAGGCCGGTAAAATGTAAGAGATTGATCCCATCCACGCGGCGCTGTATTGTAATTCGTGAGATTGTGGAGACTGGCTAATTTTGGTCCAGAATAATTGTTATTCTCGTATAGTTTGTTGCCTGGAAATTAAAACAATGAATAAAAAACTGCAGAAACCGATATAATCTTGAGGGGTTCAATTTTCAATACGATGAGGACGAAAGAAAAACTTTGCACCAATTGTTGAATTTTTATCGTCATGAATAAACATAAAAGTCGTATGTAATAAAAAATTATACCGGTTTCAGTTCTTGACTGCAATAAATTATATGATAATACCTTATTAATATCTATGTATAAACCAAACTTGATAAAAAATAATCTTTGGATCTAATACAAAAAAAGATATTGTATTTACAAAAACTATAATATTTGTTTGCATCTTTGTACTTTGTGACATTTTTTGTTTTAATACACAAGAAAAGTCTCATATTTAATACATAATTCAATAATACGACTAATTTTCATTAATATACTTGCTATCAGACACGAGATACAAGGATTAGGGTGTACGTTAAAGATTGTTTTATACATTTAATTTGCGATAGCACTAAAATCGAGATTACAAAAGCGCATGCGGGTTAACTTGCCTAATTCCGAGTTAACGTCATCGATTTTGCATTCTGGTGTAGCAGTGCCTAAGAGATTCTCCAGGACTGGCGTGCTACGCAGATGTTTTTTAGTCTCAAGTATATCCCCTTGCGAAGCGACCATCGAGAATATTAGCGATTTCGCTTCGGGAGGTATCTCAGTCTCGGTGTTAATAAACTTTGCATCCGCGCCATTAGCATACAGGACTTCCAATTCCTGTGATGTGATCGAATGACGTCGAGTATTCGCATATTCATCTTCGAGTGCAATCGAGTACTCGCTATTGTCGCAGCAGTTTAACAGAGCAGACGGCGCGGAATTGCCGCGATCTATAGATCCCGCTTCGTTCTGGTAGTCGCTGATTTCTTCGGAATCGGTATCATCCGTCGTGTATTCGCTGTCGTCAGTAGAAACGTAGCCGTTATATGGAGACTGCAGTTTCGCTGATCCCCCGTAGCTATTGCACGCACCGTATAATTGGCCGTTGTATTGAGATTGCAATTTTTTTTCATAGGTTTCGCGTGTGTCATGTAATCGGCCGTTGTATTGGGACTGCAGTTTCACGGATCTTTCGTAGTTTTCACGTGCACTGTACAATTGATTAAAATAAATTCTCGATTTGATTTTATCTAACTTTAATTCTGTTCACAGAGATAAAAATTATATAACAGTAAAGTTGAGCAAAATATAGAATTAGATTTTATTTGAATTATGTATTTATACGTAATATTATAAAGAGCATATATTGCCACATTTGTATACTCATATTAAAATATACAAAACATTGTATTGCTAAATACAATGCATATTGTAACATAATGCAAATGTATTTTAAATAAGCCAATTAAGTTTCCTTCGAATTTCTAAGATATCAATTGTACAAAAATTCGAATAATCATGGAAAGATAGAATATTACCCCGAGAAGAAATACTAAGAAAAAAAAGTCAGAATAAAATATTTAAAAAAGTACTAAAAATTGTTAAATTATTGTGTGAAGAATTCCCGAGTTCTCACCGTGCGTATTCTTTCTCCTCGTTGTTGCATTTAGCAGAATTTCTCGTCTCGAAGAAACGTGCTATGTCGTTATCCAATGGAGACTGTTGTACGATTGGAATGATCTTCGGACTAATCTGCTTGTACTGCAGAACGGGTCTACAGGTTTTCTCAAATTCTTGTATCAATTGCTTCACTGGTACAGGAGTATATCCGTTTTCCTCATTATCATTGCGCATCTGATTGCTGTCCAATTGCTTGTTCCCAATTTTATCGATCACATTGTCGTTGTATTTGTTATCGAAACATCGTTGCATTCTGGAATCTTTCTCATTGTTGTTCTGCGCGTTGCAAAGAATGGATTTCCTCGGCGATTGATAGTTGTTATTAATGTATCTGTTACTGTTATTCGCGACAATGCAATTATTGATGATATTAGCTCGCTGATCGTTAGTGGATTCAAAAGCGATACGATGGGATTTTTCCATGAAGGACGATCGAGATTGGTCTAGAGGGAAATCGGAGTCTGTGCCGACTGCAATTTCTCGTAGATAAATCTTTTTAACCTTGCTCGAGTGATCACATCGGCTAACATTACAGTGCGATCGTCTGTCTGTAACTTGCAAATTAATATTGAAGCAGCAAGCGATTAGAAAAAGATTTGCTAAAATATAATATGGGATACTTGTTGGACACCAAATACACTTTAAAAAATTACATCTAAAAGCATCTAAAAATGAATAAAATATGTTCATTAAAACAAATTGTAACGATAAAATTTATCTGTAAGTATGGTTATTATTTAGGAAGCAACCTATAAGTAAAAAAAAGATTATTCTATTATTTTAACTTATTTCAAAGCACAGAATTATATCCTTTCTCTGTTATACACGTTTTCGGATCTCATCTGTGTGTGTATATTTTATACGTCTGTACACACATGGATATACATAATAAATTTTAAATATACAGATATATTTGTTTAAAAGATGCTAGATTTCAAACATATATCTTTTTTTAGTTATCATGTTTTTTTAATATAAATATTTTAATTATGTTTGTGTAAAAAACTCTTATTAAGGTCACATATTAATGTGTTTATCGTATACCTACTTGGCAACATGAGTATTTTACTTTACTTTATTATGAGATTAGATGTTTACTTCGAAAAACACTTAACTCTCCTCAGTGATTAGCTGTTATAAGACCAGTGATTGGCATCGGGAGATAAAGTTGATTGTTTGTTTGTGATAAATGCTTAGAATAGCGCAATCAAACTCGATCATCTTGATCTTGACATTTGTTATCAAGCTATTTAATTTATTTCCTCAAAATTTATTTCTTTAAAGATTTCGGGGACATTGATGCCCGCACGTAATTTTAAAATGTTACAAATAGGATAAAGAAACTTGACTCTACCACCGTTTGCCAACAAAATCTGCCAAGTGAGATCACTTTGCATTCGAAATTATTATGTAATTATTGTGTTTACATTGTACGCACCTGTTATAGGCGTATTCGTGCTATCACGGGAGATATCCACTGTGAAAGGATTATAAAACGATTTGTCGATGCTCGTGACCGGCGTACGAGGTGTCAATGATGACTGCGTCATGGGCTTCAAATTACCGTTAATTTCCTACAGTCGCAATTCAAATATTTTTAAATGCAAAATATTGCCATTAATTAAACTAAAGTACAAGTTTTCAACTTTTTGCAGAGTAAAATGTTATTATTTCTATAATTATAGTAAAATTATTTTTAATTTTTTAAAGGAAAAGACGAGAAAAAATGAAATTTTTAGTATATCTCTTTTGTGAGCTTCTAGTAAGAAAACTATTATGGCAACTTGCAACAAATTATTCTATTATTCTACAGATGTATAAAAGATTAATATTGATATAAAACTAACTTCGTGACTCACCGATTTTTCCGGATAGACTGGCGTTTTCGGTGTGGTGGGTGTATTCGGTGTTTGTGGCTGTTCTTGATCCACCACCCACTTTTCCGATCTTTTCCTACGTTTTGCAAATATCTCGGCACCTGCATATTGTTTTGGCACGTTATGCACATAGCAATTTATTTATTATATGTATAGTTGAAAATGTTGCATCTCACATTAAATAATGTTTCATCATTATCACATTATTTATGTTAATTTTATATGTATATCGGATTAAATATTATATGTTATGTTATTAATGGTACACACATAATAAACTAATGAACTAATTATGTATTAATTAGTTCATGTTGATTAAATATGCAGTACTTACCACGTCCTTTTTGATTGTTTAAATCGCGAACAATATCAAAGAGTTTTTCAGGATTTTTTGGCGCGATATTGACCTCTTCGCCTAATGCTTGAATACCATGAATGTCCAGCACTTTCCCGCATGGATTCATCACGCATTTGAGAGGTAGTTTATCCTGTTGGAAAAAAAATTTTATTACACCACATAACATATATTGAAATTCAAAGATATTAATGCGATATACGACGTTATTATAGACATTTACCTTGTGAATTGTTGTAATCGACTCTTCTTCATCTTCGACACCTATAAAATATCATCGACATTATCACAGCAAAATGAGAGAAAAAAAGGTGAAAAAATATAATGTCGGATAACATTTGATGCATGTTAAATAACTATTTTACTTGGTTCTTTTGTAAAATGACATTAACAAATGTATTTGATCAATATTTATGCATTCTATGTTTCTTTTGATTTTCGTATTATAAATGCAAATTGCACTTGTATGATAATTTCGCGTAATTATACTTCTCGTAAACATGTAGAACAAGGACATATGGATACAATGGATGTTTAGTATAAGAATAAATTTCAAAATAAATTTTATTGCATACCATTGCCATCGTGGATCCATTTAACAGATCGCTTTTTCCTATTCACATACATAGTTTGTCCTTTACTCTTCACATTTTTCACATCACTAAGTGAATGCGAAATTCGACGTGCCAATTCGACTTGATCTTCGACTGTAGGGTGCGTCGGTGCATAAAAATATGAAGATGCAAACATTTTCTCTGAAAATTGATTGATACTGTATTTAAGCTTAACGGGCATATTTTTTTGGAATTTTTAATTTAAATATCTAAATTTCAAAACTTTTTCTTTGAAAGTTGCGTAAATCATATTTTAATATATGAACTGTTTGAGAACTTGTAAAGAAAATTTTTAAAAATATTATAATTCTGTCATATTTTATGTTATTAATTATATCAATAAGATAAATTAAGAAAAGAGAAGTTAAAAAAGCTGGAGCTAGGTTGTAATGCTCGATATATATTTAAATTCATTTACAAACGTTTTGGCACATTTTCTTCGACCATCCAAATTTATTATAATTGTTGGCGTGCGTTTCTATTGTTATTGACACGTCATTATAGTTTTTATATTTATTTCTTGTATGTAGGATGGCCAAAGAAAATGTGCCGAAACATTTGTAAATAAATTTGAATTAATATATATCAATTACAACCTAGCTCCATTTTTCTTAATTTATTTTATTAATGTAAAAACCTATTCATCTAAATTGTAATATCATATCAATAAAACCACGTACTATTTTTTGATTGTAGTGTCTCGTGAGAGTCCGACGCCGGAGTGAGTAATTTTTGCAAGTTAATCGGAGTAATTTCACCCCCTTCCTGCAATTAAGAAAAATAACGTCGCACCAATTCATATTGATTAAGCAAGGCTATACTTGATTTCAATGGAAAACTATATTTTATTTGACCAATGTTTAAAGATTGTGACTTTTCTTCTTTCTCTGAATTTTTTTACTAATCTTTGATTTTTTTATTTTATCTCTTCTAAATCTATTGATAAACATTGAACAATATTTATAGTCTAAATAATTGAAAGTAAGGAGCAAATTATTCTTCCATTAAATTCACACAAAATCTAGCTTAACAGAAACTTAGTTTAAAGTTTTCTTACTTAATAATTTTATTAGTATCTCAAATTATAGATATATAAATAGTATGTAATCGTTAATAAAAAAAAATCGGTTCTAATAAAACTTATGCAATTTACATGTACAAAAATGAGCAATAACTATAATTTATTTAAATCACTATTTCAAAAGTGTAATACGTTAAATTAAGCTTTAAAGTACACCTATTGTGTAATTTTAACATGTTTCGGAATCAATTTTGTGATTTGACGATTCAACTCACCATGCCGAAATGCAATATTCTTGAAGTGAGATTCTCAAGGAAGTTTCTTTTGACTGGATCGTGTCTGTCGGATGGCTTATAACCGCGCGAATAAATTATAACATTGTCCGCGGATACGCTGCGTTGCAGATGATTCTTGTCCTGTTGCAGGGAGCTACTATAATTCACGCTGCGCTTATATTCGGCATCCTTGGTGCACGAGAGCCCGTATGATGCGTTGCTGAGAATGTTGCGCTTGCCGTTAGCGTGTCTGTGGACATTCGAAACGTTTGCAACGCGATGCGGATCCTCCATTTACGCAAGCTCTACGAAATCTCGCGATGACCGTACAAACGCTGATATAGAGGATGTTTCGCTAAGAAGTAGTAAAATTATATTAGCCAGAGAACTCTGCATAAATGTAAATCCTATCAATATCGGGGTAAATGATCGATCGCATGAGATCGAGAGAGAAAAGGATTTGCCTTGGGTTAGCGTGCCATGCTCGGCGAAGCTTTTTCGACGACAAGAATTGGTTACCTTCCAAACGGCCAATTAATTCCGCGTCGTGGTATTGGCAATGGTACAACGAGCTCTGTGTAAAAGAAACGCTAAATTTATCTGTTGTAACGTAATACGCAGTAACAGTTCGAGCGGTTGCCCTCATAGTGCGCACGATCAGCACCATATTTATTCGGCGTTGCGCGGAAAAAACCAGTGATATGCAATAATGCAACGCTACTCGGTGACGAAGAGCTTATCTCATTCTTCGATGCAAATTATTAGATTACATTTAATAAGTAAAATTTATTGTTTACTTTCGTAAATATTCTAATAATTTTATTAAACGGATGGTATAAGTGCTAGTATTTGATATTAATTTGATGTTTGATCTAATTTATAAAAATATTTATTAACATTAATGTATATATATGTATATATATGCATAATACATAGTATATATAGTATGTACTATGTATTATATTAGTATCAGAGAAAGTAATATGACACGATTCAATTCGAGCCACGCAATAGAATCGATACTTCACTTTAAATATAGATTGTTTAGTAGAGATTCGAGAATTTTGAAGTCGGTCAAGCGCTGTTTACGGCACTACGCACGTAGACCGAGTTTTTGAGAAAGTTTTAACAGATCAAATCTTAATTGCAGATAATTTAACTAAAGATATAAATTCAAAAATATTATTTAATTTAAAAAAACGGAACATTTGGATATATCAATTTTTTGTAGCTATACATCGCATCTATTTTTTTAAAACAATGTTTTCGTGTATGTTTTTTTCAGTCAATAAGTTGATTTTAAATATCTATCAAATTATTTTCTAACATTTGTAAACATAAATGTTTAGAGTGTAATTGCTACTAAGAAAAAAATTAGAATATCGAGAAAGAATATCACAGATCGAGAATATTTTTCAATCATTACCCTATAATTTTTCGCGTTACACATTTTCTACGGATTTTTTTTTAGAAGTTTGCAATTGTACTCTCCTTGCTCCCTCCACTTTTCTCTCTGTTCTCTCATTTCACTATTATTCCATACACATTATCATTAAATTTTCCCCATTATAGTTATCGCGATTATTAGGTTCACACGTAGAGCGTCACGTTTAATAGAAAATTTATTAATGCCACAAAACAATAGCCACACTATAAGAATATAACAATTTTTCCATGCATTTTCAGAAACAATAACAAAAATAAAAATTTTAAAAAAGAAGAAAATAGAGAGAGTGAGAGGAAAACCATTGATTCTCGATTAGCTCGCATTCTCTCTTTTTTTCTCGCTTTCTCTCTCTCTCTCTCTTTCTTTTTTTCTTTCTTCTCTCTCTCTCTCTCTCTCTCTCTCTCTCAGATGGACAGTGACATTGCAAACAGAGATTTTACTTATCAAACGATGCTCTCCTCATCGCGACGTTCACACACATACAGGATATAACAAGATCGTCTCCCTTCTTCACCCACACTTTGTTTTCTTTCTTTCCTGGTAATTAATTTTTTTTCCACGGTTTTACGTAATGCGCGATACCTCGGCCTACACACTTTGCCAGAGGTAGTCCAAGTCCGCCTAAACTCACGATGAGGACTCCCTCGCCGCGAGAGGCGAATCTCGCATCTTGCAAAACGCTCCCTGGCACGCACCAGCTGTCCAGACACGAGAGGCACCGTCGTCGCTGCCGCCGTCGTAACGTTCAGGAGCCAGCGACTATTAGCCGGTTCATTGATAGGATAGAGATAGAAAACAGGAAGTAAGGAAGAGAGAGAGAGAGAGAGAGAGAGAAAGAGAGGGAGAGAGAGAGAGAGAGAAGCAGAACTTATTTTTATATCAAGCGCAGCATCTGCACGAATCGTTAACAGATATCTTGCGATTCCAGAAACATGCAGAAAATTTTGTTCGAAAAAAAAGCTTACCAATCGAACACGACTTCGATTCGCCTATCGATATCGATATCGGTATCGCCTACATACGTGAGCAGATCTCGTCGGACACGGATTGCCAATAAATGTGTCACTTCCGGCTTGATACCTTTAAAGTTTCTCTACGGCTCTATCACAGGTAGTGTCGAGAAGATGCGCTTCCTGGCTCCTCGTCACCACGAAGACCCATTCGAGATCGTAGAACTCGTCGGCAGAGTTCGCGCTTATATGCGATGAATTACAAACACGGCCGGCACGACACACGATGCTTTATAATAGCACCTAAACTCTCGCTATACCGCGCCTTCTCGCCGACTGGCTTGGGACGCCTTTCGGTAAAAATAGACCATCAGAAAGCGACACCTCAAGATGCGAGTTGAGCCAACGATGGTTGTCCATTAAGACGGTTGTTCATGTAACATCGAGGATGCGGTAGTGCAGCGAGATGCTTTGCTCGAAGTTGAAAATTGCAAATTCACATTATAAGCTCTTTAAATTTTATTAAACATAGACTGCACGAAAATAACAACACCAATATAAATAACTTATATTTTGACGATCAAAGTGATACAGGTGAAACAAATATATTGGGTAAATATTTAGAATTACACAGTCAGGCTCCGATTATCTTAATTTTCGCATATATTATCAAGACCATATAGTCCTGTGTAACAAAAACAAGATTATAGCCATTGCTCATTATTTATTAAAAAGTTATAAATAAAATAAGTTAGAATTATACTGCCTACATTTACCCAAAATAATTTTTTTTCTGGCATTGTCACAAATGAATATCATTATCCATATTAATCAATTTGATTTTTGCTCAAAAGTTAAGCATATTGAAATCTCCACACACACTGTTTTCTATTGTTTTCAGTTATTTATATTTATTTTACATATCAATGAACTTTATTCTGATTTTATCTTATCTTAATTGCATTGATAAATGTTTTTAAATTGATAAGTTTCTAGAAAGATTTGAAATCTCGCTGATATATGAGTTTCTAATTTTTTTATAAATGCATGTTTCTTTACAGATTGGTCTCACGAAATGTACATAAAAGAAAACCTAATTTCTGAAAAATGTGTAATGTATTTTTTGTTGTTTTATACGTTACTGTTTGCAAAAATATTATATTGAAAAAATTACATTAGCTTGAAATAAACGATTTTCAAAAAGCCATACAAGATGCTTATTGCAGAAAACAAATAATGCAATTAATTCTTGAAGAAAAAATTGTAACTTAATGTATATTTTAATGACGCTACTGTTACCACACGTCATTCAGATGAAGTTTCAAGCTTACAATTAGCATACTTTCGCATTAAAGTTCATGAATTGCACAATCAGCACGAATAAATGAACTGTTTACGTTCTCGATGTCGTACAAACTATTTTTAGTGAATGGCAGATGTTTGCTCTGCGATGGGTATTAATCTCATACGATTCTTTATATTTCAAACATGATTTTCTTCCATAACAATTGAAGATAAATGTAAATATGCATAAAGCCAATACAAAAGAAAATTTCTTGTAAAAACATATTTATGTACATAACGCATAAATAATTTTTACTTTATCGAGTCTCAATGTATTGGATAAATTAATTGTTTTGCTTCATCAAAGATAAAAAATTGTTACATATTCTTATTAAGTTTTATTCAAATCAAAGATTATGTGATTATTTTTTATCTGATTAAATATATTCAATTATTTTGAAAATTAGGAGTGTTCTGATTATCGATTCAAATCGTTAACTTTAAACTAGAACTTTAGATTGTCTTTTTAGATTTGAAGATAAATATATTCGAATATAGTTCGAATTTGAATCAAGTAAAATGACAAAATAAAATGAGGCGATAAAGATTCCTTTTTTTCTCTATTTATTTATTTGTTATAATTGGAGTTATTAATTACTAAAAATTATGAAAATTAGAACACAAAGATATCTAATTGTTTAGACTAAACATTTTTAAATTAAAATGTTCTCTAATAAGTTTTTAACAAGCTAATTTTTTTTCGATTTAATTTATCTATCTTTTTTTGTAGAAAACTTGTTTTAGTTTTTACAACGTAAATATGTAAAATAATGGTGAAACAAATTCGATCTCATATAATTTGATCATGAATAAAAACAAATGTTCCACAAAATCTCTTATCAAAGTATTATAGAAAAAGGAACGTGATTGTACAGCTGCTTTATAAGCCTTCAACATATTTGATTATTGATCTCTCGTGAATTGAATGAATAAATTTCATAAAATTTAATTTTTTTAAAGTAATTCGGAAAGCCTTTTATTTCTGCTTGCAATATATTTATAAAAATAATTTTTATGTAATAGATATTAATAAATTTTTTAATAAATTATTAGTGCAAAGTAAGGCTATTGAAAAAAGTACTTTTATTAATTTTTAATTCTTTCAGATATATTTTTGTCGATGCCCTTTTTTTCGCACTGAATTAAGTAAATAATAATAAATACTTGAACAATGTGTTATTTAAGACAAAGTACATAAAAAATTTTTAATTTTTGTATTTGCATACATCCATATATCGCGCCTTTAAAATGTATATTCTGTTCGCATGCGTTGATCTAACTCGACTTATGTAAACACACAGTGGCGCATCCAAGGGGGGGGTTTTGGGGTCAAAACCCCCCCCCCCCCCCGGAATTTTTAATATGCTCTATTTTTTATAACTCAACAGCAAAAAGTAAAAAATCTGTAGTTAAATAAAATGCGTTCAAACATTTGTATTTTTTGATTCTATTATAAATAAATTGCCCGAAAACAAAGAAAACTCAATATCAATTTATAATTATGCTACTATAAAAATAAATTCTATTTTTTATTAAACAATGTAACATTTTTATTAGTGTGCAATATAAAATTATTCTAAAATATAAATTATATACGTTCGAACAGCAGTATAGCTAGAGAGGCTATCAATTATTTGTGTGCAAGGATATTGATGTGAATTTTAAATTATTAAAATTGTGACTCTAATTAAAAACAGACAAAAAATACAAATGTTTGAACGCATTTTATTTAACTACAGATTTTTCACTTTTTGCTATTGAGTTAATAAAAAAATAGGACATATTAAAAATTTCGGGGGGGGTTTTGACCCCCAACTGGGTGCGCCACTGTTCATTACCATGTCTAGTCGTGTGCGATACGCGATTATTTGTAAATAATAATATATGTAATGTATTTACCTATTTTTTTTAAGGATTCCAACTCTTCTTCAAGCTTTTTGATTTTTATTTCAGCTGCATCTTGCAGCTGAATGTCTTGTTCCATGTCCATGTCTTTTAAAGGGTCGTTTTCTAATAATTCTTTATCAGGATTTATCCCCAGTTTTGACATTCTGAAAAATAAAGATGTACATAATGTTGTATCCCAAGTAGAACAAAAAGTCATTTAAAAATCTAGATGACATCAAAAAGTAGTCAAAAACTAATCATTTCTAGAAAGTCAAGATAATATCATTTAACATTTTTAATGAAACATAATTTGACTTTTTAATGACTGTATTTTGACTTTTTGATGAGAAATGCAAATCGTGTTTGTGCAAAATAATACAAAACTCACGGTATATTATTATA